GATGTGATATAATAAACAGATAATGTGACACCTCACTAGATATCTTGAAAGATGGTGGACGGACCGAGTTCATATGAAACCCTACCGTGAACGTTGTCTAATACCAGACGAGATATGAAGACTTGGTCATTTGGCGCTCATACCGGACGAAGTATGGGGACGACCCGCTTCACTCTCATACCGGACGGGGTATTGAGATTTAATATATTGATGTTCATACCGGACAGGGTATGAGGACGGCCTTGGAAGTAAGATTGTTAAGGGAAATGGTTCACGTGTAGTGGGGAGACCCCTATGGATTCCCATGGATACTAGTAGGCTGGTGAAACGAGAAATGGTGATGATTAGTTATTGTTAATGAATATGAATTTATGATATGTTCTGTGTTACTGATTGTGCATGAAGTTATGATCTGTATGATGTTATTGTCTTTATAGGTTGTTTTCACAGGTTCTCCAATGGTAAGAAAAAGGAAAAATGGTTTTATTTTTAATGAATGTATTAGTTTAAAATTTGTGCTTCATTGGTTGTTTTTGGTTTTTTACCAACCTTTACTTCTGTGACAACGATATATGTGATGTCCTTACTACGCTAGTGTAGCTCACCCCTTATTTAACCATTTCAGATCAGGAGGACCCCATTCCCGAGCCCGATCCGCAAGAAGGCTATGAGTAGATGTTAGATACTTTATAGTTTCCTTTATTTTTTCTATTTTTCGTATTTCTTTTAGAAAATTTGTTCCGTGATATTTGTTAGTACTTTTGAGTTATCGTGTAAGAGATGTTAACCATAATTTTTATTTCACTTCTGCACTCAAATTATTATATGTATTTCTTTTTAAATTTTCGGAGTCCCTACACTATAGCTGATGATTTGGTTTCAGATGGGGAAATAACACCAATTAGGACCTTGATGGGGGGGAAAGGCAGAGAATGTGATCATTCCATATAGAAATGGAGAGAGGTGAAGCAAGAGAGAAAAAGAGAAATAGGAATAAACATGCGACTGGAATCATGCTTGAATATAACTACATAATCAGCCAGGAATTTGGTCACATCACCATGATGTGTAAGATCAAGAAAAAATGGTGAAAAGAAGGTCGAGGGAATTCATTCCCTCCAAAGTGGAGTGGCCATGCAACTGTCTTTCCATCGAAAGGATCTAAAACACAAAGAAAGCAAAAATAAGAAAATATTCTCCAATTTCAAATTTATTTTCTGAATATACTCACTATATCCATTCAATAAATGTATATGTTGCCCTTAGTACATTCAATATACAACCACTAGTACACACACACACATATATCTATACTCGACTTATATATTGTTACACCACATATAAATTTTAAGTGTTAATGTATGGATTTAAATTCAATTAACTAGTTTATATATAAATTAAATTATGTATAAAATAAATAAAATTAAAATTTACCCTTAAAGTTACAAAAAATAAAATTAGAGACTAAATTGAACAAAATTAAATTTATTGGATGATCTTTGTAAATTTAAAAATTGATTTAGGGGCCAAAATATAAAGAACACTCAAAATTTAGGCCATTTTATAATTTTTGAAAAATGGGCCACTTAAACTGGTGACATGACAGCCGCCCAATCAAAGAGAGCCGCAAAGCATTGACCCACACATGTGATCATCCATGCTGACACCCATGGTAAGCAGATCAGACGGTCCTGAGTGTTTTGGGCAAATCTAGTGGTGAGATCACGGTATTTAGATCCAACGGTGTGCAAACATGTAGAGGAAATAATAACAATCCGACGATCCACGTGTGAGATGCTAATCGGACGGTTTGTATGTGTTTTGAGGTAATCCAACAGTCATGCGATTGAATAATTCAGATCTAATGGTGAATTGCTAACGGTTGATGAATAGGATAACAAAATTACAATTTTGCTATTAATGAAAACTTATCTAACAGATTGCATGCGGTCATGTGTGTGAGGCTTGTGCGGTATAGATTTTTTGAGTGGTGGGTTTAAAAACTCATCCATGCCACTCAACCCAGCTCAATTCGGAAAAAAAAGAAGAAAAAAAAGACAACAAAAGAAGAAGGAAGAAGAGAGAAAGAAGAAGAGAATGGAGGTAAATGTCCGTCATTCTCGACGGAGCAAAGGAGGAAAAAGAGCAGAAGGGTGGTAGAGATTGCCGACGAAGGGCCGAAGGCCAAGGGAATGGCTTTTCGCGGCGAACCAGTGCCGAAAATCGCAAAAATCCATTGAATTTTCCGATGACTCGCGACTCTAATGCATGATCAAACTGACACTTTGGTGAGTGGTTTTCTAGAGCTCCATTTATTATTTTAATTAAACAAAATGCTTTAACGATAGCCTACGTGTAATAAAACATGTTTGAAGTTTAAATTAAACCAAAATCAAGGCATGCATGCATGAAAATTCGTATGTAACTTGCGGATTTATCACTGACCTGAAAAGAACTTTTTCCATATAGATTTTTCCTCAAATTTGGGGACATTTTGGGAGTTCAAATCATTTCATAAGGACCTCCAAATTGTAACTATAATTAATAAGTAACCCGAGATCTACATAACATAAATGTTTATTGAATTTTGTTAACCGGATAAGTTACAAGCTTACAAAAAGGAGTTGGTGAACTGGGTTTGAAACCCGTCTCAGAATCTATCTAGACAGTTCAAACTGTTCAGAAATGTCTCCAAAGTATTTGTTTAGATATTTTGATAATTTTATTATATTTTTAAACTTTTATTTACTTAAATGAATTAATTGAATGTATGTATAATATGTATATAGTGTATATATGTATAAATTGCATAAAAGAACAAGTTTGAAACAAAAATATAAAAAATGGGTTGTTTAAATTAAGAGATTAAGTAGATGACAAAAAAAAGGTAGATGCTGAAATAAATTAGAGACCAAGAAAAAAGAAATTAGATTCAAGTTGCTAGATGAGAAAATAGATTAACTAAGTTATAGATAAAACAAATTAGAGTTAGGATAAGATTTTAAAATAAAAAAATAATTAATAATAAATTAAATAATATTAATAATATAAGTAATATTAATAAAATAAAATAGCAATAATAATAATAGAAAATATTAACAAATATATATATATATATAATATATTAATAAATTACAAAGAATTTCATAAAACAAAAAATATAAATATAAACACAAATAATTAAATAAAAATTTCTGAAGTAAAATTTAGAAGAAATTGGTTAGAAAAGGGAAGTGAAGAATAATAAGTGAATTTTCAGTTGAAAATAATAAATAAATAAAGAATCAATTTTAAATAGAATAGGAAGAAAAAGAAAACAAAATAAAAATTTGGAAGAAGTAAAAATTTAGAAATAACTCTTTTAAAATTGATATGACTGAAATTCAGCAGTGTAGTGAACTATATTTTTAGATAGATGAAAACCCTTTCAGATATGATTGGGGTGTGTGTTATGTTCTGCATCACCTGGCGACGGACTGCTGTGACCAATGAGTGTTTTGCATGTGTGAGTGCATCTCCTTGTGATAGTGAGAATCCCGATCCCATAATGGTACCAATTGGATAATGAATAGATTCGTCCAATATCAAATCAAAACTCAAAGACTTTAATAACTTTAATTTGGTAATTATGTTGGGACAAATTGAGAATCAGATATACTCGTTAAGGAGGTACAGATGTCTTGATTTGACCGGAACTTATGAAAAATTCTGGTAGCAATTATGAGGGATAAATAGTAATTTGAGAAAAAACAGTAGAATAAAATGAATTTAAAGAAATTTTGAGAAAAAATGAGTTTAAGAGAATTTATAAAGATAATACCTAAATTTAGGAAAAAATTTTGAGAGATAGAAGGGACTAATGGAACAATGAGAGATAAAATAGGAAATGAAATATCTTTGCATTTCATATTTTTTAAATAATTTTTTTTTTTTTTACATATTTGATAAATTGTTTGATTGTATGTTGTATGCTTAAGGTGTAACTTATTTCTTATACTTACTGAGCGCGTTGAAATTACTCACCCTATTTAATTACCATCATTCCAGATCAAGAGGATCTGGTTGTAGATCAAGAAGATCTCACCTCTAAACTGGATCAAGAAGAAGTTGTATGAGCGCGCGTGATAGAAATTATATTTTGTAACCGAACGGGTATTTATTTTGTTTTCACTCTATATGAATCTCATGTATTGTAAACAATATAATATGTAGTTAAAAGATAAATGATGAATATTTTGAAGTTATAAATATTTTATTAATTATATTTTTGCGACATGTTTAGTATTTAACGACTGTAATCTCTTCATGAGAGAGCAGGAGCGTCACATATATACAATAAACTCTTAAAAAAAATAAATTATTGACCTCAAATACATAGATTTCATACTAGCAGTGTTGAAAGTTTCTTGTCAAATGCATGGTTGTGTTTTATACATAATTAGACCTCTATCCTCTTAACAAATTGTTCAAAAGTTGAAATGGTGTATAAACCTTCATTAAGCAAGGTTAATGTAGTCTTCAGGTTGCTTAAGAGTTTAAGCAGAACATCTTTCTTCCTTTCCTTATTTTTGTTACCATGCACAACAACTTATGTTTTTCACGTACTTAAGCTATGATGAATGAAATATTAGTAGAAATTGAATCCATTTTTCTTCTCTTCTTTGTTTAAAAACCAACAATCGCATTAGAGCTTCATCATTCTTAGAAAGGGTAACAAGAGAGAGGAGAAACTAGCTGCAAATAGCTCTAGACTATACCGAACATTGCAATTGTTCAGTTCCTCCTTAACATCGGTCTTCGATGATGAAAACTATCAGCTTTAGACTTGTAGTACTAAAGCTTTACTGAAAAGAATAGATCTTTTGGAGATTGTGGAACAGGATAGATCTTCCCTTCTGAAGAGTGTCCTCACAAATGTGTTGCAGATGCCCAACAAATCACCACACAAAGGAGGTCCCTACAAAATGAAGCTACTGAAGATACCTTGAAATGAAGAACAAAGGCAGGCTTAAGGAAGCAATTGGGAAAACATAGCAAATGTAAAAAAAAAAAAAAAAAAAAGGAAAAAGGAAAAGCAAAAAGTCAGTTAGGACTGAGATGGGGACAAGAAGAGCAAATTCCCTACATGTCCAATCTGCAAAAAGACCAACCATTCTAAGAAGTTTTGTAGATTAAAACATGGAACTCAAGCAGGTCATGGAAAATTTTTCGAATTGTGAAAAAAGTTAGCAAATCCAAGGGACCGCAGGCTGAGCAAAGAGCTTGATCATCAGGAGCAAGATGGAGAGGGTATTGCCACCTGTTACTCAACCAGTTCAAAGATCGTGAACAGTTGATTGGCAGTGGTGTCAATTATCATATGGCACTAGACCAAGACAAGTTTGAGACCTGATGAATCCTGCACCTCAAGGATGAGAAAGGTGTTGGTGAAGAGTATCTAAAAGTGGAAGGAAAAGAAACCAATTGCAATTTGTTTGTATCAAATTCCGTCTTTGACATTATTGGGCTTAAACTTGATAAAAACTTGCTGAGTTTAGGTCAAATGCTTAATAGAAAAAAATATTCCTTCTTGATTAAAAGCAAATCTTGCATTACAGAAAATCCAAGTGATTGTAACTAAATGACAACGAATATCAGACTCGAAGTTTCTCTTTGCATTAGGTTGGATAGATGACACCTCTTGTTGGCAGTAAAAAAAGTTTGGCATTTACAATATACAAGCCCTTAGAGGCGTAAATGAGTAGGTCAATAACATGGCAGTTGTTAAAAAAACGTTTTGGTGTTTATGAAATTTGAGAACTTTGCAGGCAAATTAAGGAGCCTTATTGCTAGAACCAAGCATGGAGAGCCATATAAAAGTTGCAGCTCATCCACACTGACCTAAATGAACCTACAAGCACCTGATTCCTAACTGGAAGTAGGTACTTTCTGATCTTCATTGATGATTTCTCTAGAATGTGTCCGGTGTATTCTCATGAAGCAAAAGAAAAAGTATTTGGGGCGTTCAAAGGCTTTCAGACCTAGGTAAAAAGCTGATAGTGAGTTATATACCTCATTGTCAAGACAGATAATGGCACAGAATGCACCAATAAGAGGTTGATAAGTTTTGTAAGGATGCAGAAATTCATCATTAACTCATTGTTTCCTGCACACTTCAACAGAATGGGTGAGTGAGAGAAGAAAAGAAAACCATGGTGAAGATGGCTAGCTGTTTGATGTTTGAAAAGAAGTTTTGGGGATAAGCAGTAAACACTACAATGTACCTGCTTAATAGGCTTCACTCCATATGAAGCATGGTAGGGACTCAAAATTAAGAATTTGAATATGTGTGGCAGCATTTACCACGTCCATGTCCAAGAAATGAGAGAGATAAGTTGGATTGGAAGGCTAAGATTGGAATTTTATTGGGTTGTAGCACTGATGCTAAGGGCCATTGAGTCTTCAATCGTAAAACATAAAGGGTGAGTCTTGTAAGAAATGTGAAGCTAGATGAAGGAGCTCACTAGAACTGGGATAAGGTACAAATTGAAGTTTCAAGTAATCAGTTTGTCTTCAGAGATATTTACTTAGAACCACAATGCACCTGCAATGACGGATCATATTCTTAGAGTGATGCAAATCCAAAATTGCACGCAAGGACCAAGAACTCTATAATGTATATAATAGGTGCAACATTCCTTTGCTAGAGCCAACTACCTCAGAGGAAGTCCTAAAATCACCTGAGCCGAAAGTTGTTATGGAGGAAGAATTAAGGATGATTATAAGAATATGATATGGTTGCTTAGCCCCAAAGGATCAATTAACAAATTCAAGGCAAAGCTTATTATCTTTTTTTTTTTTTTGAAATAAGGCAAAGCTTGTCATCAAAGGTTACTCAAACAATTTGGTGCCATTTTGCTGGTCCTTTTAACACCAGCAGCAAGGTGCAACAGTGAGATTGATCATTGGGTTAGCAGCACTGAATAGTTGGAAATTTACTAACTTGATGTGACATTATTTTTCCTTCGATGGCTACCCGAACGAAGAGGTATATCTTGAACAGCTACCAAAATTTGATGTTGAAAGAAAAGAGTGTGTTTTGCTACTGAGGACCTTCTACAGTTTGAAGTTGGCTCCAAGAGCTTGACATGGGCGGACCAATGACCCTTGTTACAATTGAGATTTAGCAGAAGCTTAAGTGAGGCTACAGCAACGTGCAACATGAGAGCAATGATGTTCTAATCATTTCACACTACATGGATGACAATTCTGTGACTGAAAAGGAAAAAATTCTGTGGACAAGTTCAAGGACAAAATGCAAAGTGCATTTGAGATGGATGACTTAGAAGCAAATTTCTTATTTCCTCGGGAAGGAAGTGCATCAAACTGGGGAAGTGATTTTCATCAATCAAGAAACATATGCTAGAAAGTCCTAAGGATATTTGGAATTGAAAACTACAAGGTAATCAAACTCTTGCTAAAATAAAAAAATTAAGCAAAAAAGATGATGACAAGAAAATTGAAGCTAGAGCCTAGAGAAGTCCAGCGAGTTGTTTGCTCTCGTTGACAGGTTCAATACTAGACATTATGTATCCTGCAAGCCCACTATCTATATTGATGCTCACCCCAAGGAGATGTTCTAAGAGCAAGCAAAATATTATTGACGTATATAAGAGGAACAATTTATTTTAGCATCTTGCTCAGAGGAGGTTCGGGTGCGAAGTTGATTAGATTCATAGAGTAACCCTGTTGGATCAGTGGATGACATGAGAAATAAATCTCAATACGTTTTTCATTGTGGCTCAGGTACATTTAGCTGGAATTGAAGGATTGCCCAATCAACAATAGAAGTGAGTACATTATTGTTGTTGCCGCTCTGTACCAGGTTTTGTGCTTAAGGAAATTGTTAGTTGACTTGAATCAAAAGCAAAGATTTGTACAACTGCTTTTTAATAATTGATGTCTTGCAACCTCGTTTTTCATGACCAGACAAAGTAGATCAAGATAAACTACCATTTTCTGAGAGAAGTGAGAAGGGTGTGCTGGTGAAAAACAACTAGCAAATATCTTTACCGAGCGACTATCAAATATCATAGAAACACTAAAGAGTAGACTTGGTGTTTCCAATAAAAATGCCACGTACTGAAGTTCGAAAATTTTTTACTGTGAAATTCATGGTTTTATTTTCTATCATAGTTTAGATATTTGTCTTCTACTTAACCAGTTGGTTAAAACTTGTAATGGTATGAACCTGTATTAGGAAAGGTTAATGTAATCCTTAGGTTGCTTACAACTTTAAGAAAACTATTTTTCTTGTTTTGTTTATCTTTGCTATCATGCACAAAAACTCTTTTTCATATGACGACCAGAAGACCCTGCAATCCATTTTTATTCTCTTCTTTGTCTGAAATTCAACAAGCAAACGACAATGTCCAGGTCAGATAATTGACCTGCAACTTGAGACATCCACCAAAGTGGAGTTATAGTTTCAGTCAGTCAACTTGTTCCAGGTGGTTGATTATTCTCTTCAGGTTCCTATAAGAAAAAAAGAAAAAGAAATGAGATGAAAACAAGGATACATCAAATTAAGCTCTGAACTTTAAGTGATCACCAAATAACACTATGAGATAGCTACTTGTGCTTTACAAAAAGTTCCCACAATTGTGAGGCAGAGAGGGAGATGCCCAACCCACAATAGCAGACTTCTCCCTCAGTGGAGCTTGATAATCTGGGTTCAAGATCCATGACCCACTTCTCTAGGGTTTACCCACAAAAAAAAGAGGCACACAGAGAGGAGGAAGCATGGGGCGAGGTATACCTGGTGAGATAGAGCACTGAGTTGACAGCTTTCCATATGATTCAGTAACTGGATTACAGTTTCTAGATGAGGAACACTGCAAAAATTGTCACTGAAATAAGCCAAGAAAGCCAGGAACAGAATCCCCAGACATTTGGTCATTGAAAATCAAATCCCAAGGCAAGTTATTGTACAAATTAAGTACATGTGGTGAATTAGGTCTATCATTTTACTATCCTTTTGTAGGTAGGGGCAAAGCAATAGGCAAGATGAAGCTAATGAATGAAATATATTCATCAATTTTGCAATGAATATCTAATTATTTTGCAAAATATACCATTTTGCAGCTTGTCTAAAATGTATAATACCAATTCCAGTGTTGCAGAAGGGTGTAGCTTTGTGGTCAAATATTACTCATGCACTGAATAAAAGGAAGTCATCTTTCTCCTTGGAAGTTAAATGGCCAAGGGAAGTCATCTTATTTTTAGACAAGGGACAAACTTATGCTCTCGGGTGAAGGCACATTAAGGAAAAGAAAACGCCAGATTACTGAAAACAAAAACTAATCAAAACAACTCAACCTGGCCATTGTCTGACATTGATAACAGAAATAAACTAATCAAAAAAGCCATAACTCTACGCAAGTTATGAAGTGTAAAACAAGCATGTGTTAGTCAGCACGTAAAATAGCAAAAACATACATGAATACAACCTCTGTAGTCCACTTTCAATATGTGCATCCAGTGATGAAATCACTCGCGGCATCTGCTCAAGCAACTATTGAGGAAAACAAGGAATAATCAGTTCATAGCAATGATGTCTACTCTTGACATTCGGTCGTAAGTACGGAGTACATAAACCAACGAACCTGCCCAGTATTCTTAATAGTAGAGGCTTTTGCCAAAAGGTTTTTTGGTAGCTTCATCAGTTGGGCCTGTAGATGGATAACAAAGGCAATTTTAGTGCTTATGCAGATGGATCATGCAGATCAAATCATCAAGCAAATGTTTTCCATCTCATGTAAAAGATATCATGGTTTATTAAAGAAATATGAGGAAATAATAAGTTCATTTTGAAATGCTCCTTTTTGGCGATGCATTTGGATATCATCACCAACAAGCTCCATCAAGCATTCCATACAACCCTGAAAAATGGCATCCAGAAATTTTGATTTAAAAAATCCCTTTTCCTTGCACTGTATCTCGAACCCATTCTCAGGACCGATTATCCTCCACCAAAATCCTTTCATTGTACATAAATTTCCACAGCCAATTTCCAAGCAGTGCTCTGTTAAAGCTCGTTAGGAATCTCATTCTAAGATCTCTAGATTCAAAGGCTAACGACATGGCAAGCCCCCCAAGTGAATCTTCTCTTCTCATCCAAGTCACCCCGTAGATATTGACATTGAATGAATTCCATTCTTAGCTATATTTTTTGCCAGAATTTGAAGAATAGACAGAAGGCAGATAGGAAGATTGGCCAAACTACTCATAATAAGAGTTTTCCTGTTCTTTCTAGAAAGAAAACCTCTCTTCCCTGCCAATCTTCTTTTCAAATCTAGAGATCACTAGATCCCAATATTTTTTTCAGATAAAATCACCAGATCTGAAATGGTCTTATCGTTTAAATTGGCTCCCAAAGGCAGCCCAAAATTTTTAATCGGAATGGAGGAAACCTTGCATCGCATAGTACTAACATAGACCTTTCCATCCATCCCACTGCAGATAGGGACTAAGTTAGACTTGTCTAGGTTGATTTTGATACTTCAATTTTATTGATACTTCAATTTACACCCACATTTTGGACTAGGACAGTTTTAGTAATAATAAGATCAAATTCCTTTGAACAACTGTCAAATTGTCCCTCTGCACGTTCCTTCTGGGACAGCCAACAAAAATATCAAGTGTCAATTTCTACTCATACAAATTTCAAGTATCTAGTCAAAATGGAGGGGATAAAGGTAATTTCCAGGGTCCTTTACATTGTTAAGATAGGAGCATTACTATATTCTCTTATCATGTTTGGTTCTGTTCTTATTCCATTACCAAAAATACTTTTGATATTATCTTGCTATGTAGAATCACAAAATTTTTATGCTTGACCCACCTCCATCTTGAATTCCACTCTCAGATAATTCAAAGAGAGAGATAAACATTAAAATTATATTTTAATTATATCCATATGTTACCAGCAAACGTCACTCAGCCCTTTCTTAAAATTCAGGAGATATTACTATAAAACTTTCCATCATGAACCTAGTTTATCAGAATAATGCTATTGAAGACCAGAGAGCAAAAGTCAATGAGTTATCAGACTTAACTAAAATAGACAAGAAACATAGACCACATGTGGAACAAATTCAAAAATGATATGGAACTTATTTGCAAATTTACACTTAGTTTAATAAGGAAAAGCTGTACGTTATATTAGGATGAAAAAAATATTTGAACATATATAGAATCTCATATAGATTCGAACAATGCATTCTAAATTTTATCAGTTAGTTCCATCAAAATTGAAAAAATTTAGAATTTTTTTTAATGCTACATAAATTTCATATAAACTTAACTCTTATCATCTTAGTTCCTCTAATGTTTTCTAGTTAAACAAGTGTAAGTTTAGGAAAAAAATAGACAAATTTTAAATTTGTTTCAAACATGGCTTTAATAAATTCATTGTCCAAAATTCAATTCTATAGAACTGCACCACTCACATATGTATATTTACTGTCCTACACCTAGACGTGACCCTGACCCTATTTCTTAACGAAAAGTAGTAAAACTACGGAATTTTACACAAATGCCTCATTGACCTTCCTCGGGATCAATTTCAGCAGCTTCTAAAACGGACTATGCAACTCAGATAATGAGAAAACAAATAGACAAGTCTAAAATGTATCCGAGCAAATTATTCCTTCCTTCGAAATTAAACCAGACAACTCGTCTCACCGGCGCTAACTTTACACATTACATTCACGAGTCGAAAGAAAATGGAACAATCAGAATTAACAAGGATTAATTATATCGCCTTGAAATGTTAGAAGTAGGTAGATCTTAAAAAAACCTGAGAAAGGGAGGATTGTTGCATGAGATGAAGGAGATTGGAGGTGGACTGCACGGCCTGAGAAATCTGATCAGTAACAGTTGCTTTTGCGGTGCCATCTACAGTGCTTGTTCCCCTTACGTTTCCCGCTGTTGCCATTGTTGCACAGCATAGCAGAAAGGCTAAAAGCCTGACTGGATCTTTTACAAATTACAGTGGCTTAAAAATAGTTTATTTTTTTACATTTTATTTATAGTCTATATTAAAATAGTTATTTATTTATTTCTGAAGTTTAAATTAAAATTCATTTTGATTTCAAAGCCCAAAAGCCCACTTTAAACAAATAATCCAGCCCATTTGTATCCTAAACCCTAACTGGCCCATTACTATTACCTGTTTAACCTCCCATTCTCTTTCCTCACACCCCCAGAAAACCCTAAAATTCTTTCTTCTCGTAGCTTTTCTGCGCAGCTGCGAGGTCTGGTTCTTGTGGCATGGTAACTCTTTCACGTCCCTAATTTCATTATTATTTGATTTGTTTGTTTCTTCGTTTGATTCAATAGAAATGTTTCCTGTGGAAGCATTTTCAGTGCGTTGATTTTACTCGGCTGTCTTCCATTTTTTTCTTAAGAAGATTTTGGTTCCTTGGAGGATGGGAGCCCATTAGAGCTTCCGCCAGTATATACTTAAAGGTTAAAGAGAGCCGAACGTAATGTGCTTGGTTCAATATGTATGCTTTTGCCCAATTTATATTCGGCTACTGAGTATTGAGAGCGAGTGTGCCAGGTAGCACTTAGTGGTGTATGGGTGAATGGATAAGATAGTCAATACGGAATAAATTGAATACCTTTACATCTGTTTCCAATACAGATAGATTGATGTTTCACTCTTATTTTTATCATCTTTTAGTTCCCATGTATTGATTATCCATAGTTTATGAGTTACTGAGGATATATCTCATGTAGTCACGAATGACGGAATGGTAAATTATGATGCGTATTTTAAATATGAGGAAATTGTTTAGTTATCATGATTTTGTGCTTAATGTCCATTTGGAAAAATCATGACTAAGGATCTGGTTGACGGACAGCTTTTTTTTTTTTTCTGTTTTTCTCCTTATCTCAGCATACCAGGCTTCTCTATGGAAACCTTTTCAGTCTATTGACCATATTTGTATCTTGGACACAGTTCTTTAAAAGATTTTTTTTTTTTGGCTTAGAGGACGGGAAGCTATTGGAGCTTCTGCCAGTATCTACAGGTTCAAAGAGAGTCTAATGCTGTTGTTTAGTTCAACATATAATGAAACATTTGACTCTCAAAGAAAAGATATTGGGACATGAAATTGTCTTCTGAAGTGATTACAATAATTTGCCAATTCGTGTTTTCTGAATAGAAAAAATTTGAGTGTCTGAAAACTATTGTATGTCATGATAATATGTTTCTCAAGACAATTGAACATGTAATAAGACTGGTATGATTTGGTTTTTTTGAAATTGCTTTCCATTTATGTAGTTGCTTTCATTTTTAAGCTTCTTTTGCAAATCAACGCGTACTTATTTGGTCTTATTGAAGCAGATAATGGCTTCAAAACAGCCAAATACCGGGCTCTTTGTGGGGTTAAACAAGGGACACATTGTAACCAAGAAGGAATTGGCTCCTCGACCCTGTATTCGCAAAGGAGTAAGTTTCTTCTATGCCCAGAGAATTTTCGTAACCTACTTATGTTTCTGAGTTTGATTTGTTGTTGATGCATTTAACTGTTGCTGTATATTTTTCATTTCATTTCATTTAGGGGGTTTGGTCTGCATGTCTTTGTTGCAGTTGTGAATATTGAAATTCTTAGCCTGCTTCTAATTAACTGCTGATATGTATATGACTCTCTCCTGTTTTCCATCTGTTGTGCTCTCGTTTGTTTATTCACAGAAAACCAGCAAAAGGGTTCATTTTGTGAGGAGTTTGATCCGTGAAGTTGCTGGTTTTGCACCATATGAGAAGAGAATCACTGAGCTTCTGAAAGTTGGTAAGGACAAGCGAGCACTGAAAGTTGCCAAAAGAAAGCTTGGCACTCACAAGAGGGCAAAGAAGAAGCGTGAGGAGATGTCCAATGTACTTCGCAAGAGCAGGTAATTTCCAAAATAATATATACAAATATCTCATCTGTTATTAACAGGCCTGTGCGTTTCTCATTGTCTTTGATGGATGGTGAGGGAAGAAATGCAGTTGTATTAATTTTTTATATGACCATTTTCTTATGGTAATGTTCCTTGCAGAGCTGCAGGAGGTGGAGAGAAGAAGAAGTGAAGGAGGTTTGGCTAGTTTGTTTTGCTCTCACACTTAGAAGTAATGTTTTTATTTTGGTCATCACATTTTGTAAGCAGCATGTTATCATATTTAGAGAGGAAACTGTCTGTGTGGGAATTTGTTATTTTCCATTTCATAGGGAATCAAAAGTACTGCTGATTTCAATATTTTGTTCCTGCACTATGTATTTTGATATGATCTATTTAGATTTATTCAGTTGGGATGAAAAATTATGAGGAAAAAGATTATCTGAATGTTTGACATATAATGGTAAATTATAAGGAGAAATTATATGAATTTGTTTGATATGATAATGATAGAAAAATAGTATGTTGTAAAAAATAAATACTTGAAATTTCATAATTTCAAATATAATTGAATTGTGCAAAATATATGGAATTAAGATTGAATAAGCCATGTATAAATCTGCTTATTACTTTTATAGTGGGTTTGGATGATGGATAATTAATGTACGGTATAGTAATTATGTAGTTTTGTTTTGTTTGAATCATTTCAAACAGATGGTATGATTATTTGGGTGGTATTTGGTGGTAAATTTTTCTTCCTTTTTTTAAAAAATTTTCAAGCCACTGATTCTGTGGTTTTTTATGGTTGAATATTTTTCTTTCTTTTTTACCCTCACAATATTTTATTAATTCCAGTTTTACCCTTAAACCCCAATTTTGTTTTTCTTCATAGCCCCACCTCCATTTTCTTCACATCAGCTTGCATCTTCTTCTTCTGCTTCCATCTTTCCATCTTCTGCTTCTACTTCTGTCTTGCTTTACCTCTCCTTTTTTCAATCAAGGTAAGTAATCATTAAATTGCTTCTTGCTTTGGATATTCTTATTTTTAGGTTTGTGTTTTTGAAATGCATATAGGTTGTTTTTGAATTGGTAGGCATTAGTCTAGCTTTTCCTCAACTCTTGGCTGGAGATGGTGAATTGGTAGACGAGATTGATTCCTTATTAGATTATTTGAGAAGGTTTTTTATGGATTTTGATTTGGCAAGTTGTGTTGACAGCAATGTCAATGCTTGGTATGAGATTTGTAGGAAAACTAAAGTTTTCTGTAATTTGGGATGTGAGAAGGGAGAGATCGGGGAATTGATGGGTAAGAGTAAAGATCTTTTTCTTAAATATCCAGAAGACGTTTTGGTCCAAAAGGTTGAGTATTTCTGTAGATTTGGCGTGAAGAAAGAAAATGTTGGTCTTCTGCTTCTTTGGAGTCTGGAGATTCTGAGTTTTGATTTGGAGACTCCAGTGATTTCAATCATGGGGATATTGAAGCATTTTGGACTGAGTGATGAAGAACTCAAACCTGTTGCTCAAAATTACCCTTACGTACTTGGCAGAAACGAAATGGTTAATTTGCCACATTCCATGAGAGCTTTGAATCTTCAACAACTTCTTGGTAATAGGATTAAGAATGGAAATCATAAGTTATTAGCTAATTATGCCTTTAGCCGATCCCGATGAAGACATAGATAAAGAACTCAAGGAGAGCTTAAATAAGATTCATCCTCAACAACACCCTTTTACACAATGAATAAGTTGAATTTTCTGCATGGCATTGGGTTTGGACATAATATTTTAACAATGAAGGTGTTAGAACATATGCATGACACTAGCAGTGAGTTACAGGACCGTTTTGATTGTCTACTTGGAACTGGGATTGAATTCTTCAAGCTTTGTATGATTATTAGATTATCACCGAAAATCATGAATCAAAAAGTCAGAGACTTTAGAACGGAAAGTAAATTTCCTCTGCCAAGAGATGGATGTTTCCTTGGACTACTTATGTTTTCCCAGCTTTTCTGTGTTTTGACTTATATAACCGGATTAAGCCCAGGTACAGATTCCACAAATGGCTTACGGAGTGTACCAGAGAGTACTCTATTGCAAGCATAGTTGCTACTAGTGAAAAGAATTTGTAGCTCACCGTCAGGGAATCCACCCTGCTGCTCTAAAACACTGGTTTGAGTGTTTCGTATTCAGAAAACCCAATCACAGCCATTAACAGCCATTGGTTGATCTTGTTATATATGCAGCAAGTGTGGTGCTTAACAGAATGCTGCTTCACAATTGATGCCTAGTTCCCATCCTTCCAAATGAAAGGCTAGGATTTTCAGGGAACTTATGGCAGAAATTTGGTTTCTTGGATTGGCCTGTCAGGAAAAATCTTAAAACAGGTTGATGATTGTTTTGCAAAACCATCAGCTAATCTTCTAGGATCCTGGTCATGCAGCTGCTCGTGCTTAGATGAGAATCTCACTTTTTAGCATCATTCTTTGATTGATAAACCTTACTGGAATCACTTATGTTGCTTGCAAATTTGGCTGCAGCAATAAAAGAATTGTCTTGTTAAAGCAAAGATATTGAATCATTCCAAATAACCCTTCTTTGTATTTAGGATCCCTGCCATTGCATGATTTATATACACTAGTTACACTTCTTCTTCATACTTAATTTTGTTAGTGAAGATGTTTTTACAATCTCTTTTACCGGCCCTGAGCCTTGTAAAGAGGACATGAACACCTGAAATTAAGCTTCACAGAGGGAGAGTGTGCGACTGAGCCAAAATGGATTTGTCATTTTTTCGTATTTCCCTATATTACTCTAGTTTTATGGGATTTTCCTAAAAGGACAACTTTTTTATGCGTCTTATTCTCTTGATTTGCCTTTTTTAAGAGAGAATTCTTGTCGCTCTCCTTTTTTTTTTTTTTCTCTTTTTCCAGATATAAATAAGTTTTATGTAGAAAAACTAAAACTGTTTACTAAGAGTGATTGTTCTTAAACAAATGATAAAATTTAAAAATAAAAGAGAACTGCATCTGAATAATGATTTTTAATAGAAATTTAATTCCATAAAAATTATAAGCAGACAAAATTAACTTTTATTACATGATTGATAAGCCAGAGAAAGGATTTAGGTCAATTATATACTTCCAAAGTTGATATTTTTGTTCTTTTTTTCAAACCATTGGGATAAATTTAGAATAAATTATTATTTTAACACTCCGAATTTGAAATATTTTTTAACATAGTCTAAATTTATTATTTTATTATAAATCGATTTCTAAAATTTATTTGAAAATAAATCCAATATAAGTACATTCTGATATGATGAATTGTATGATTTATATGATAAATTATATAAAGACTTTAAAAAGATTGAATTGAAAAACATTATATTGAACAATTAATTGTAATATTTTAAAAATAAACTAAGATTTTAAGAAGGAAAATATTGAGTTGGAAAATTTAATTTTTTTTTCTACAAAAGAAAAATAAAATATTTTAGAAGAAAGAAAACTTTTCATTTTAGATCTTAAAGAAAAGCTTCTTCTAACACATACCACAAAAAAAAAAAAAACTAATTATATAACAATTTTCGTAAAAAAAACATATTATTCACATGTCAAAGTCCTTAAAGAATCTTAACTATTAATAAAAATATAAATAAGAATATAATTTAAATAGGTAAGTTAATTAAATGTACGTAAATATTTTATTATTTAAAAATTATCAAAATTAAAAATTATTATCAATAAAATTTATTTATATATTTTGTATATATCATAAAAAAATAATGATAAATATTATACGATTGATAATTTTTCAAATTTTTTTTAATTTATAATCATAAATAAAAATTTTTTATTATAGGGGTATCAGTTTTAGTCATATTCCTACAGAAAAATATGTTAGAGGTCTTGGTTGGCCGAAAAATCACAAAAAAATGAACCTACCGGTAGGGGACTTTCGGGTGCAGCGGCTCCGCCGGTCATCCTTTGTGGCTGAGATTCTTTCTTTGAATATCCTGTACAAAAAAAGACGGTAAATACAATGATCGAAAAATTACGTGAAACGAAAATTGGGAAGGAACTCATCGGATGAATTTTGGGATTAAGTTTCAGACTCTATCCATATGTAGGTTCACCATGCCTGCTAAACTTTAGCCATACACACACACTACCCTCCTCGATTCATATTAAACGAGAAGGTATTTAGGATCCCTACCCTATTCACACCTACCCTCTCATTCCAAAATTCTTAATTTGTTTAAATGATCATTTATTAACCTTAATTATTTATTTTTCCTTTTATTTTTATATTTGTATTTTATTTCTTTTTCTTTTTTAATTTTTTCTTAATTGAAAATTTTTCTTTTCAATTTCATATTTCATCAGTCCAAATAATTCAAGATCATTGAGTCTGTTTTTTGGTTTCGTCTCCTCACAGGGTTCTAATTGCTTAGGTTTACTAATCATCATTTGGGTTTTGTTTTTCCATCGAAATTGGGTCAATGTCTGTTCAAATTTAAAATTAATAATTTTTATAAAATGAATGCACTTTTCAAAATTTAACTCGGTTGAGATTTAGAAATACTTACACTCCTACGCATCTTTCCAAATCTGCCTGAATGTATAAATTTTCTTATACACACGACATAATTAATTAAAATACTTTAAAATACTAAAAATTAATTTAATCAAATTATGGATTCCAACGACCACCCAATGGAATACCTAAAATTATGGGGATTCATATCCAAAAAACCTTTTGGCTCTTCGTTTAGTGAATCAGATTCTTGTTTTTCGAGAAAGACATTTCAATTTTTCGGACAGGAAACTGGATTCTTGTTTCTTGATGAAGACTTTTCAGCTTCCTAAATGAAAAGTCAGAACCCCAAAATGGTGGACCGAGTTCCCATGCTCGACGAAGATCCTTCGACTTCCCGAATGGGTCAACTTTTCCCATTCTCGTGCCCACACGGCCAGCCCGACACCAACCCTGCCCCACCACCTCTCAACCACCACCAAAACATGAAAAAAAAACC